ATGTGACTGTGAAAAAGATAGGAAAGTGGGTAGTCTACCTACTTCCTAACTTTATACTCCTATACTAGTCAACATGTCTTATGAAGTTGATTGACACTTGGAAGATTTAGAATGGGTCATGCTCCTCAGATTTGTGAACCAACCTTTATCATCAATATTTTTATTACTAGCCTTTAAATATATTAGCTGTGATCCCAGCATCCTCAGGTGCTTCTCAATGTTAGTATGAAGATCATCCCTCTGCATTTGACAGCTTCTTACCAAAGTGTTCCTCAGCTTATTCAACATTAAAATAATGGTGATTGTCTGTTTTCCAGAGATATTGAAGAATTGGATGAATATAGTCAATTGTGTAATACACATAATAAGTTATTATTCTTTTCCCATTAAATTGTTTTTGTAGTTTTATAAAAATTATTTAAACTGCCAAGATACTTCAGTAAGAGTAGTAGTTGGTTTTAGTTTAAGGATAGAGTAAATACCCATCCTTCCTGTGCTAGGTACAGGCATGCCTTGAAAGGCTGATAGCCTTTATTCTCAGGGAGCAAGAGCGTGGTCACTCTGCTCTCAGAAGTACTGAGCTGCATACATGAGTTTTCTTCATAATAGTAAATGGATACACATCCCTAGACACATGTACTTTACTTTTGTGTATGTTTTGTATGCAGCAACAATAATTTATAAAGGGAATTTTGCTTTAGGAAGGTAACTCTAGTGAACCCTTCATGAATTGCTTCTGTTTACTGTATCTCTAATACCTAGTGAAGGAGCTAAAAGTCACAGAACGTTCTGTGTTACTTGGCTTATTTTGGTAAGAAAGAGTGTCAAACTCTAGGATGACAGATTGAAATAAATGTTTTTGTAGACATTAAACCATAATGTTTGAATATGGTGAAAGTAGATATTATCCAGGGAAATTACAAAGTCTGAGTTTCCTATAAATTTTATATGTAGATTACTTGGAGTATTTTTGAAATTTTTCTTTGTCATATCTGTAGTAATAATGAAGGAGAAAAAGAAAGTAATGGTTTAATGACTTTTCCTATATTCAGTACAATGTACTTTGCTGTGTGGGTTTCAGTAAATACTACTTGCTATTCATAATTTATTTGCCACCTATTTTTAAAAGGAAATTGATAAATATCTATTAACTTTAATATTATACTATTTTAAATGCCATAGAAACTAAGAATTTAGTTTAAATTTCATAAAACACTTAATTTTTAACTCTTAATTTAGACTTTCTCAAGAAGGGAAAAGGAAGACTTTTTGTACATTGAAACCATTTATTTTGTTACATATTTTTTATGTGTTTTAATACTATTTGGGCCAAAGCTGAGAGGATTTATAGCCCTTACAGGTTAGAGCTCTTCACTGTATAGTCAATTTGAAAATAAGCTATCACTCACACTGGAAATTGGTTGAGGGAATATGGTTGGATTAGATGAGTATTTTCAAGAGTAGAAGTGTCTGAAATAATGCTTCAGCAGTAGATGAGTATTATCTATGAGCTTTGTATACAAATTTCAACATACTATATTATCTAAAACATTAAAACTGTCGGGGTGCCTGAGGGGCTCAATTGGTTAAGCATCTAAGACTTCGTTTCAGCTCAGGTTGTGATCTCAGGGTCATGAGAGCAAGCCCAATATCGGCCTCTCTGCTCAGAATGTAGTCTGCCTATGATTCTTTCTCCCTCACTCTGCCCCTCCCATTTGTGTTCTCTCTTTCAAATAAATAAATCTTTTTTTTTTTATTTTTTTTTAAGATTTTATTTATTTATTTGAGAGAGAATGAGTGAGAGAGAGCATGAGCGAGGAGAAGGTCAGAGGGAGAAGCAGACTCCCCAAGGAGCTGGGAGCCCGATGCGGGACTCGATCCTGGAAGTCCGGGATCATGACCTGAGCCAAAGGCAGTCGCTCAACCAACTGAGCCACCCAGGCAGCCTCAAATAAATAAATCTTAAAAAAAAAAAAAAATTAAAAACCCCTAAAAACTGTCATCTTCTATGATTTCTCAGCCCCTTGCAATGCAAAACAATGATGACAAGAATGTACACACACACACACACACACACACACATAAATATATAGTGCATGTGTGTACATACATATTCATTTTTTACAAACACCTCTTCATCTTAGAAGAGTTGGAAGATTATTCTATTTCCTAGTTTACTTGGTTTGCAGTATCATTTATCTTGTCAATGTAGATCTTAAAATTATTTAACCTTTTGCAAAAGCTTAAAGATCATCTCTGCTGGGACATTAGGCATTTGTATAGTCTGGTTTTGGCGTGGTTTTTAAGTTTGTCTGCACTACCTCCTTACACACACTCCCCAGTGAAAGGCAAACTGCCTTACTCACTGTTCTAATATCAAACCTATTGATTCCCCATTTATAGATTTTTTCCCACTCTGCTAAATGGCTTTTTACTAGAAACATGAAAATTTAAAACATCTCGAGACTCTACTCTTTCAGTCCTTACAGACTTTCGTGCACTGAAGGAAACTCTCATTTTTATAATACTGATCTGTACCAATGCTTTTGCAATTAAGTCTGGCCTTATGGCATTTCTTTTTGTTATTATTTTGGACTCTTAACTAGTTTCATATTGTCATTTTGCTTTTATTGTTACATATGTTCTGGTCACTCTTTTTGTTTGTTTTCTCGTCACTCTTTCTGAAAAGTGTTTCCCTGCACTCTCCAGTTGGAGTGCTAAGCATAGAGTCTTACGTGGAGGGACAGCTTTGTAATATATACTGGTGGGAACTGAAGTTCTAGCACCACAGGATTACTCAGTGAAAAGCATCGCTTTAATTTTCAGAGCTAGCACTTTTTTTTATTACTTTTTTTTTTTAATTTTATTTTTTATAAACATAAAATATATTTTTATCCTCAGGGGTACAGGTCTGTGAATCGCCAGGTTTACACACTTCACAGCACTCACCATAGCACATACCCTCCCCAATGTCCATAATCCCACCCCCCCTCCCAACCCCCCTCCCCCCATCAACCCTCAGTTTGTTTTGTAAGATTAAGAGTCACTTATGGTTTGTCTCTCTCCCAATTCCATCTTGTTTCATTTACTCTTCTCCTACCCCCTTAACCCCCCATGTTGCATCTCCTCTCCCTCATATCAGGGAGGTCATATGATAGTTGTCTTTCTCCGATTGACTTATTTCGCTAAGCATGATACCCTCTAGTTCCATCCACATCATCACAAATGGCAAGATTTCATTTCTTTTGATGGCTGCATAGTATTCCATTGTGTATATATACCACATCTTCTTTATCCATTCGTCTGTTGAGAGCTAGCATTTTTAATCAATGGACAGACACACTCTTAAAAACATCTTGTGTGTAACTTGAAAATTAATTTTGATAGGTAGCTGTCAAACTGTATGATAACTCAATTCCAGCCCATAAATATACTTTTTTTTAAAAGATTTTATTTATTTATTTGACAGAGATAGACATAGCAAGAGAGGAACACAAGCAGGGGGAGTGGGAGAGGGAGAAGCAGGTTCCCCACTGAGCAGGAAGCCCGATGCGGTACTCAATCCCTGGACCCTGGGATCATGACCTGAGCTGAAGGCAGACGCTTAACGTACTGAGCCACCCAGGCACCTCACCAGCCCATTAATATACTTAAAGAAGAGAAAAAAAAACATAATATTGGCAAAATTTGTGTAAGACCCGTTCATGGGTACATTTATTCCTGAGTCTTCTAAAATACCAATTTAGCTTGAGAAATTTCAACTTGTCTCTATCCTAGTAGAAGTAACTTCCCAGGTCAATCCTTCTTTAAAAAATTCTAGCAGCAGGCTTGGATCAAAGTGTTCAAATAAGGTATTGTATGTGACACCATTAGGGAAGTCAGAGAAAAGCAGAACCATTCTTGCTGAACTTGGGTTAAGCACCACAAAACCTTGCCCTCCACTTATCTCTGAGGAACCCTAGGACTCAAAGGATTAAGCATAGAAAATCGGTGTAATCAATATTGTTATAATTTCATGCTTTTGAAATCTATCCAAGATTCCTGACGAGATGATGCCATGGGTCCAGGCTTCGACATTCCCTCTATTCCAAACACAGCAAAGCTAGATGGAAGAGTTATCACAAAGAACGGCTTAGAGACATGACAGATTTCAGCATGGGGCAAAACTGGAGTACAACCAGAGAGGAGAAATCAGTCATGGTTCCAGGTTCTCAAGCAAATACAAGATGAGAAATGTCTAATGGCAGTCTGGAATGGAGGGTTCTTTGGCGCTAACTTGTAAAAAGTTAACTCAACATTTTACCACTTTACAGGAAATTATAGCCCTGATGAGACAAGAGAATGAGGGGCAGGAAGACAAAAATGCAGTTTCAGGACTAATTGCAGCATCTGGGGGAGGTCGAGTACTTGTCAGGACTAGATTGCCACGGAAGTATCAGTGCCCTTGGTTAGCATCTGTAAAGTCATTTTTCTGAAACAACTCATCCTATGAGCAAGACTTGGGCTTGTCTCTTGAAGTCAGGCCGACAAGAGACTCTGGAATTAGTAAAATGCACCATGCCAGGAAGACACAGAGTCATCTTACATTGAGCTGCTGTGACCTACATTATGTATCTGGTGACCACCCGGGACTTACAACCATGTGGAAATTGATGAACATTCAAGTAATGGTTGCTATCACTGCAAATGAGCATAATGGCAGGGACATTAGGGGAGCAGCAGAGGAACAGAGAGCTCTACTTGGACATAAAAGTTAAGTCTAAAATCAATTCAGACGACATAGTATACACAGTAGATTTTATACATACATGCCTATATAACAGTACCTAGTGCGCAGCTGGGAAACGATTCTGTCAACAAACTTCTTTTTGAAAAATCAAAAAGAACTATAATATATAATTTAAATATAAGACCAGAAAAATGAGGGATGATATAATAAACTGTCTTACTATTTCATTAGAAGAAATTCATTTTTAAAAAATGATGATTATTCCCCCCAGCCAACGGGAGCTGTTCTGATGGTGCGTTGACGTGCACTTCCTCTAACAGCTGTATCCCACTTCACAAGCGCTGTGATGGTTTGGTCGACTGCATGGATTTCCAGCTTGATGAGTCCAGCTGCACAGGTACTCTATTTCCATTAACATATTCTTTACAATATAAGCCAGTAACTTAACCCTGTAGATGATAAAAATAACAAAACTTGAAATTCTAAATAATTTCCAAGTATGGAATAATTGGATTTCTATTATTGGTTTAGGTCAGGAAGAATATTAACATTAACATATAAAAAGCTTATAAATATATAATATAATATATAACATATATAATATATATAAATATATAGTGAACTCATGCTTATTCTATATAAATGAATGTTCCCCAATGAAGAAAAATCAAACACTAAATTTTAAGTTAATAAAACTTAAAGTTATTAGTATTTGATAATCTCTTTGATGCAAATTGCTTGGTATCTAGAATAAGGAAACAATCTAACATGTTATTAATTTTTTAATTATAATTTTCCCACTTCTCTATTTGCATGATCTAGTCATGTTTAAAAGTCAGTTTATTAAGCTTTAGACTGACTTTTAAAAATTCTTCTCTCCTGACCCTGCAATATTTATCAGAACTGATAATGTATGTTTGTGATTATACTTTTATCAGAACTGCTTTAAAATTCTCTAATTTATTATAGTCCATTGCTAACATCTCTCCTGGGTAATTGAACTTTTATTTCATGCAGGAGATATATGAAATAATAGATAAGTAGGGGCAATATAAATCTCTCACAACGAAAATACAAAGTCATCATAAAAGATATATTCAATCATATATTCTAAATAAATTGGAGATATTTAATATCAAAACTAGGTGAGAATATATTCTTTGTATCTTTCAAGAGCGCAGACTATTATGAGATAAGTGACAAAAGCATGATAATTATAATCAGATCACAGTGCAAGAAAGTCTTATTTTTTATGCTGCTGAAATGAATACTCACAGAGCACTGAATTTTATGAGTACAAAAGGAAATCAAGAAGTGAGCAAATCTGGTCCCATAAAATATGCAAAGATGAACGGTCTCTGCCATTATTTCTGTACCAGGCATGCTTATACATCAGATTGAAACCCAAAGGAAATGCTTTCACTTTCTTTCCAGAGTAAGAAAAATATAAACAAGATGGTTTCAGTCTTTGAAACTATTAAGACAAAGCACTGATATCCAGTACCCAAATTTATTTGCATAAAGGTGAGATTTTTGTTCAGGATAGTCCTCAGTGAGAACAAATATACCATAACATGTGATGGGTTATTGTCTGACTTTATGTATTTTACTTTTATCATTCATCCTGACAACATGGAGGTAGTAATGGAGAGCACATTCTGGTCGCCCCATCTAGTTGCGCCATTCAGCAATTCATTCACAGTTCATTTACACGTCATACTGCCCCAGCTACTGGGTTACAGTAATATAAAGAACTTGGGAAACAAGTTTTCAGAAATAAAATTCACATTATATTTTTTGTTCTCTATATTTTCTGTGCTTTTTAGTTTGTCAAACAAATACGATGTAGTCAATGTTTCTGTGTTTAAGAATGTGTCTCGGCTTAATCCACACTAAGAGGTGTCAATGCCCATGACACCTTCCTCTTTCTTTCCAAACATCATATCCCTTTATGGGTAGCATTTCATAGACTTTATGAGCCCGATCCTGACAGCATCCAATAATGTCCCTGGTCGCACAGCAGGTGGTGAGCATCTGGTCTCCTCTCACCTGAGGTTTAAGTCATTAACGGGAACATTGACCTCAGGCCCTATGTAAGTGTTGCAGGTTAAATATATTTCGACAAGGCCGTGTGTTCCCAAGTTATGTTAGAAAGGCATATTATTTTCACGTTTTGGTTGTTTATGCAGCAGAAGGTTATTGAACAGAATGTGTCTGGCTTAATTTAAATTGGGAGTTTTTTCCAGTCAGCTGTAGTAGTGGAGGTTAATGAAAGTTATGTTAAGGTGATACTATAATTATGATAATCATCCTTTGAAGTAGAATAAGGAAAAGGCATCAAAAATATAAAGTTGTAGGGATGCCTGGGTGGCTCAGTCAGTTAAGCATCTGACTTCAACTCAGGTCATGACCTGGGGGTCCCGGGATCAAGCCCTGCACCAGGCTCCCTGCTCAGTAGGGAATATGCTTCTCCCTCTCCCTCTGCCCCCCCCTTCCCCCACCGCTCATGCTCATTCTCGCTCTCAAATAAATAAATAAATAAATAAAATCCTTGGAAAAAAATGAGGTTTTAGGATGGGATGTTATGAATATAATTTAATATGTTTAATAATAATAATGCCTAATAATATTTCAGAAGGTTTTACTTTTATTAAGTTTTTTTAAAAATTTAATTCCAGTGGTCTCAACATGCAGTGTTATATTAGCGTCAGGTGTACAGTACATTGATTCATCACGGCTGTGCCTCACGCCGTGCTCGCTTTGATAAGTGTGCGCTTCATCCCTTCACCTCTTTCACCCCTTCACCTCCCTTTGCTCTATTTTAAATGAATACCCTCCGTTAGAGTTACTCTTCTTTCCAACAAGAACATTTTTTACTCGAAGCATACACCAAACCAAAGCACTATAGAGTAGAGCTATGCCAGATTTCTAAGCCATAGTTAATCTTCCCTGCAGTCCCTGTGCTGGGATTTCAAGATAAAGAGAACAGTCTGTGCCCACTGGGTATTTGGTTTACTGCACCAAGCCATTTGGTTTTCTGGAAGATTCTTAGATCGATATAGCTCCTGAAACTACAGGCAAGTTTTTGGCAGGTGTATATCTAATCCATGACAGTGCATAAATACTGTACCATTCAAAGAAGTTCATGATCATAATATCAAGAACAGCAAGGGGTTATACAGAAATTCTGACCTGAATAGCAGATCATTCGACATTTTTAAACCAATAGACTTTAGGTGTTAGAGGACTGAATTTAGTTCAATATCTGTTGCTCCTTTGCTATTAACTTGAGCAAATTATATTATTAACCAGTTTCCTTCTCTGTGAAAAAGGATCTCTATGAATATAGCACATAATGCTATGAGGATTAAATGAGGTAATGCCAGTAAAGCTCTTAAGACAGTCTTGACACAGATCAGGTCTTCAGTAAATGATAGTGGTAGTGGTGATCATAATGGTACAGGGGAGAAGGAAAGGAAAAGCTGGAGAGAGCATTGGTAATAGAAACTAGGTTTCATGGGCAGTTTAAACAATCCCCAAATACAGAGAGCTGGCTGAGAACAATTATTTAATACATTATGCATACCTAACTCACTCGTATAGAAATGTTACAAATACCTTTCATTTTATCTGCTCAGCAGCCCTAGAAGGCAAGGTGATAGATATAATTCGCACTTTAAAACATGAGAAAGCTTAGACTTAAACTGCTTAGTCCAAAGTTACACAACCCATTAACTGAGCAGGTGTCAATGAGGGAGAACCAGGACTCACGTGTCTATCAGTCTTCTCAGCAGTCCACCATACAAGAGCTCTCATGTCCTAGGCCTCCAGTTGAATCCTACTGGCTTCCAGATACATGGTCATAATAACCAATGCAGGAGGGCACAAGGCGGCCAGACACTGATGTGGCTACGGAGCTTGAGGTTCTCCTATCAACCCCGTAGACCCCAACTTGCCATTTGAGAGCTGCTTATATCCTGGGAGTTTAATCTCTTCATTGCTAACTAGTCATAGACCCCTCCCTGCCCATTTCAGCTGTTCCCTACTTTAAACTGTTTTGAGTAAAGGTGAAAATATGTTGTACTGGGTCTTTCCATTCTTATGGATAAAGAACCTGTGGAGGTCATCTACAAACAGTCTCTCTTCCAAAACACCGAGTTTAACTCCTTGCTCTGGCCAGTGCTTCCTTTCCACTGTGCTCCATTATCCAGTGTAATAAAATGCATATTTAAAATTTTTCCACAGCTTTATTTTGATGTGAAGCAAGCCTATGTTTTACTCTCAGCAATCAAGGTAAATACTAATAACCCCAGGGGGAAAAAAAAAACGTGCAGCCATGTGTATGTTGATGTTCTGTAATATCAGACACTCTACAGGTTTTTTTTTTCTTATAAAAACAAAGCCCTTATGTGAGGAAGACTGCAATTGTACTTAAGACCAAACATAACCATAAAATGGTTTATCTGAAAGGTTTCTAGCTATTTATGCTTTATCATGCTGGTGGGCTGTTTTTAGTCAAACCAGCTAATTTCTTGTTTAGGAAGGAAATTTCACATCTGTTGTGTTCAGCTGAGCATGCCCGAAAGCCTGAGGGGTGTAGCTGTACCCCCATCTTTAGTGCCACACTCCCTTGCTGTAATTAAATAGGGAGGAGAGGGAAGGCAAGATTGGAAACTACAGTTGACCCTTAAGTAGCACAGGTTCAAGCTGTGAGGCTCCACTTATAGGCAGAGTTTTTACAGGAAAGTACTGGAAATGCAGTTGTTTTTCCTTTGATTTCCCTAATAGCATTTTCTTCTCCTAGCTTACTTTATTGCAGAAGTACAGTATATAATACACATCATATATAAAAGATATGTTCACCAACTGTTTATATAAAAGATACGTTCACCAACTGTTTATATCATCAGTAAGGCTTCCAGTCAACAGTAGGCAATTGGTAGTTAAGTTTCGGGAGAGTTCAAAGTTATCTATGGGTTGTTAACTGTGCGAGGGTCAGTGCCCCAAATCCCCCACATTGTTTAGGGGCCAACTACATCCCTGGAAGAGCAAATCACTGGAAACCTTTGAGAGCAAAAAGAACACCAGACACATGGTATATTGCAAATTTGTTCCCACACTGCAACCTTCCTCCTTGCCTATTTTTCCTCTTTCATACTTCCTCTTCTGCCCCCTTTCCAGTGTTCAGTGACTGACTCCACAATCTGACTCTCTCTTTGCCCTTCAGAGTTCTTCTCTGAGGGCTATTTTCCTACATGGCATTTTTGCTTCTCCTTATTACTTTTCTGCTATTGTTCATTACCATCATCCTTTCCCGACCCAAGTAAATCGTTTCTCTTTCTGCTAAGGTTAGTCTGCTCTCATAAAGTCAAAGACTGTGTCTTTGTGACCCGCATGACACTTAATAAAATGATCTCAAGTGATTTTTGAGGGGCAAGCCTGAAAATTGATGATAGCTGAAAGGCAGAGGAAGAAATCCAAAGTTTCAAATCCATGCCCTAGCCTGTATTTTATCTGAGCTTCAGACCTGCAAATAATATTGCCCAAGGAATACTTCCACTTCGATGTCCCCTTAGGCACTTAAAACACCAGCATCTTCCCCTACAAATTCTCCCTTCCCCACAGATCCCCCAATTCAGTGAATGGAACCACCAGCTAACCAGAGGCCCGGCCAGAGGCTTTAACATCACCCTTTATTCTTCCAAATAATCACCAGGATCTTTCAGTCCCAACATTTAAATATCTTACAAATGCCCACAATTCTTAGACTCTTACCCCACCTCTTTCATTTAAGCAACCATGGTTTCTTACTGGATTATTACAAAAAGCTCTTAACTGGGCTCTTGCATTTTATTCTTAGCCCTTCTGTTGACTTTACATACTGGATCCAGAACTGTCTTTTTAAAGAATGAAACATGCACTTAATTTCTTAAAATTCTGGCCTTCTAGGTTAAAGCTTAAACTGCTCACTGAGCCTATATGAGCTGGCCCCTGTGTGTCTCTGACCTTCTCCCATACTCTCTTTGCATGATCAGTCCAACCAGGCTGAACCTCCTTCCGATCCTCAAACATACCACACTCTCTTCATGGGCCTCTGAGTCTTTATGACTATATTTAAACACACACATATACCCCTGTACCCAAATGAATGCTGATTTTCTTCTGGAAAGCTTTTCTTTATTCCCCAAATTTGATTTAGGTGCCCTTCTTGGTACTCCAATTACCCTTGTTACATTCATTCCAAAGTATACTAATTTTAATATTCTATTTTAATTCCCTAGTCATTTTTTTTTGCATTTTCTATAAAGCTGGAAGGTCAACATGAGCAAAGACTGCAATTGTCTCTTTTTTATTTTTTTTTATTTATTTCTTTAAAGATTTTATTTATCCACTTGACACACAGAGAGAGGGAGATCACAAGTAGGCAGAGAGGCAGGCTGAGAGAGAGGAGGAAGCAGGCTCCCCACTGAGCAGAGAGCCCGATGCTGGCTCCATCCCAGGACCCTAAGATCATGCATGGCAGAGGCTTAACCCACTGAGCCACCCAGGTTCCCCTGTCTCTTCTTTAGGTCAACATTTCTTAAGCATGTGTCATGAGCTAGGTGTGTTCTAACATTCTCAGCAACTCCAAGATAGATACTATTTTTAACCCAGTTTGACAGAGAGGAACCAGAGATACAGAGAGATTAACTAGCTTATCCTGTATTATACAGCTAATTAAGTTGAGTTGAGATTCTTCCTCAGGCAGTCTGGCTCTGGTGCCTGCAGCTTTAATAATTTTGTAAACTTCCTGTATTATATATTGTTACATATCCAGTGCCTAGCCTAGTGCTGGATATTAACAGATGCTCAGAATAGATATGTTGAATTACAAGTTTCCACCAAGTATTGGAGGTAAGACAGTGCAACCAGGGGAGAATGGTATCCTGCAAGAGAGAAGTTGTTTAAAAAAAAAAAAAAGCCAAGAAAAGCAATTTGGGGATTACGTGAGTAAGGAAACCAACAGGTCTTAGTAGATCAGGATACGTGTGAGGATCCAAGGATACTGTAAAGAAACTTGAAGAGCTAAAGGCACTAACCACTTCCAGTGTCATACCTATGTAACAGTATCTAGCTTGTTTTTAATCTATAAGCAAACCACCTTTGAAGATAAATGTTGACACTAACCTAGGAGTGGGGAATGATACAAGCAGCAAGAGAGCAGGGCCAGGGAAACAAAGGTCAGTTTGAGCTATACTGATGTTTGTCGTGGATGCAAAGGTTGGACATGCTCATGCACAAGTGACATTTTACCAAGAAGACAAGGACACCCAGGAAAGCATTGTCTGTCATGATAGTGACTTGTGTGTGGAACTGAAGACAATAAATGTTGCATTAAAGAGCAAATTTCAGTATAATCACAAATATGTCTTGCAGGCATGTTCTAAATAAGTAGATTTTGCTAATCCAGGGGAGGAAAAGAGTCTTCTCTTGTGGTCAACCACTCAGGCATGTGAAGAGAATGAACACATCGAGGGTGGCAAGGGCCACGGAACAAATTTGTGGGCCACAGAGAAGTAGTGTAGGAGAATTCTTGTTCTTTTAGAAGCAATTTATTCTCAGTGGCTAGATTTAATGCAGCGATTAACAGTAATATGTCCTCCTCCTTCCTAATAATATTTAAAATTAACTGTGGGCTTTGTGATGCTTCTTTATAGAGTGCCCATTGGGTTACTGCAGAAATGGTGGGAATTGTGTAGTGGAGAAGAACGGCCCTGTGTGTCGGTAAGGAGCATTGTCTACTTTGTCTTTGAACAGTTATTGCCATTGGCTTACTTATTTTTCTCAAAGCTGGTATAATACAACACCAATGAACACAAAGTTATTAAGGCAAAAATAGTGGATAATGGCATTATTTGCATTTATCTGTCTGAATATGAGAAAGGAAGATGTGGGTATATTTTAGAAAAAAGATGGCAATTATTTAACATGATTTTATGTCTTAACATTTTTTATTATATAGGACGTAGTTTTAATACTCATTCGTTCTTATTTTTAATATTTATATCAGGTTATAAAAAGATTTTATATATGGGTGTCATCCTATTTCAGATGAACTTAGTGTCTGTATTTCCTTATTCCCTTTTTATTTCACATTTCATATTTCTCTTTTCTAACAACAAAGGATAAAATTAATTCATAAATAAGACCTTTTTCTAGTTTAAGCAGTGGATGTTTATGAGTACCCAAAGTTAAGGTACAGATAAGGAATACATTTGCATGCTTAAAGCAAAAATAAACAAAACCTGTCCTTGTGATTTCTTTGGGGAATTATTTATACTGCATTTCAAAGATTGCTTGATTTTTTTCCCCTCACCCTTTAGGGAATTGTGCAAAAACAGTTTCATAAATTCCAAAGGAAATAATGCATATTCCATTATATTTGTGTTTATGACTTTTTAATCTAGCAGACCAATGGATATATTACTTTGCTTATTAGAGAACGGATGGTAGTTTGAAACTGAAGTCAAAACATACAGAAGTCTCTGGAAAACAATGATTGATAGTTGTTTGAATCCTTATATCCTTCTGAGTCAACACTTGTATTTTAGGAAAAGTTGTTTATGCCTTATAAAAGCAAATATCTCTACCAATTAACACAACAACAAAATTTTTTTGATGAGATATGTTTAGACACTGTTTTAACATTGTTGGAAGTGAATTATTAATGGGTTTCTCTAAGTGTTTTGTCTCTCTACTTCATTACATAATTTATTTCACAACATCTCAACAAAATTATGCTTTCCCCTGTATCAGTTTCCATGGAAATTAATTTTTTACAAACTGTAAGTTGATGGAAAGACAGGATGCATAGTACAATTTCTAAAATCTCCTGAAAGAAATTGAGAATGATGCCATAAATAATGTCCATCGAATGTCAGCTGAGCAGATAATGTTGTTTAGTGTCAACTATTTACAATAAGGAGGTTTGCATTTTTGTCTTCTCTAACCCTGCCAGACAAGAAAGCTCTCTCAGACTGTAGCTAGTCTTAGCTAAGCAAGCAGAATTTTGCGTTCTTGGCAACATCCTCTGGTACTTAAATAAACTTTAAAAATGGAAATCCAGATGGTGACGTCTGAAATGGGTTTCTCTCACATGAGAAAACTCTTAACATGAGGGAGAAGATGCAGTGGGAGGATTAAGAGGCAAAGGGACCAGAGGAAGGAAATCGGTGTGACAAATGTAGAAAGAAATTCATTAATCAAATATTTTAAAATAGTGTTTTTAGTAATAAATAATACTTTTCAGATACTGAAATAACTAATTGCCACCAGTATAAACAAATGTTTAGAATTAGTGTTCTTTTCAACATAGGTATGAAAAATGAGTTGTGGGTTTTTTTTTTTTTTCATATTACAATATGGTAGTTTCTTCATTCAAATTCTAATTACTTTAAAGCCATGAACTGCAAAAGTAAACATATGTATATTACAATAAACTTTTAGAAGGCATATACTAGTACATCAGGCAAAAAGTAGAAACCCCAACATCTAAATCCCACTTTGCAGTATTATTTTTCTCTCCACTTAAATATGGTCTTCCTTTCACCAACATATGTACCCACACAAGCACATATTTATTTCTTATAGAAATATGAATTATACTTTATACATTCACTTTGTACCTTGTTTATGTTTTTTTTCTCTTAATAAAATATTGTGCTGTTGTTCCATGTCGGTACATCTGGCTCCTAGATCCATCACTTCTTGGCTGTGTTGTGTTGAGTAAATTTCCCAATCTAATGTGTCTAGCTTCTTCTCTGGCAAACTGGACAAGATAATAGCACCTACTTCACAGGGTAGTTGTGAGACTTGAAGGGGTTAAATATGTGAGACACTTGGTACTGTGTCTGACATACAAAAGATACTATAGGAAGGCTAGCCATCAGAACTATTATATCATCCCTTTTTATGCTGTGTAGTCTGCAATGTTTAATGTAGGGTTTGTCATCATTTAGATAACCCCATTAATACTATTAATGGTTGTTTAGTTTCTTTCTTAAATATTTGCTTTCACAAATAATCTTGCAACATGCATCCTTTGACTTGGACTTGCACAATTCCTTTAGCATAACATACCTTACTGAAATGCAAAATAACAATGTAAATTGTTTCTAGTTGCATTTAGTATCAAATTCATTTCCTATTAAATTTCGTATGCAGGTCATGTCACACACAGGTATTCTTTTTTGGATTTAAGGTTCAATGAGGGTGGCTTTAGAATGGAAAGCTTTAGAGTAAACATAAAGCACTATGGAAAGTTGTTGGCTTTATATCAAACCCCTGTCATTCCCAGGTGTGAGAATTCAAGGTATCTGTCACTCAAAGACAAAAGGACAGACCAAAGCCCATCTCTTATCCAGGCATTGTGAATATAAGAATTTCATGGTATTCAAAAGGAGGCTTGTCACGAGAGTCTTTGGGTTTTCTCTTGGGATCTAAAGTATCTTGAGAAAGGACCTTCAGTTTTTACCTGTGATCCTAGAGAAGAGAGACTTAAGGAAAAAAAAAAAGGTCATTAGGGTTGCTGGAAGTTTATAATTATCCACAAGCATAAACACTACTATGTGAACTATGGTTTTCCATGACCTGAGGACCACCAACAGGGTGGCATGTCTGAGGGCTGAAGAAGCAAATCATGAACCAAAAGAGGGAAATTATTCCTAACCTAAGGAGGCTTGATTATTATATTATTTTGATATATCTGTATTTTTCTTTGAAAAATGGACTGAGCTATGTAATTCAATTCCAAAGGGCAGGAAAGAGGTTACAAAGAAAAAAAAAATCAAGTCATCAAAGCTAAAAGAAAGAAATAGGAAATAATATCAAATTAATGCATATATAATTATATATATACACATATAGAGATAAATTTATTATATATTTCATATATATGTATACATGAGATCATGTTGTTAGTGAAGATAGGCAGAAAAATATTAGAGCTTGGGTTAATTTATAGATTTGGAATACAATTTATCAACAACTACCCTATCCCACTAGGTTCTACATTCTTAAATTTGCTTGCCAATAGGACACCAGAGTTCCTTTGGATATGTCATAGGCATTACAAATTTAACATGTCCAAAAAGATCTGGCATGTAGGCAGGCCATATTCTTCTCTTTCTCTCAGATTTACACGCACTGTTCTCTCTACTTAGAATTTTATTTTTCTGCATTTGCTCAAAAGATGCCTTTTAATCATTTAAAGCAAATATAAATGGCAATTTCTCTGGGAAGCCTTTCCCGACCAACCAGAGAGAATGCCTCATCCTTCCTTCTGGGTTCCTCTGTTGCTTCCCTCATTCTGTTATTTTACAAGTATTGGTTTTACTAAACTACAGATTGGAACCTGTTTTATCCTATGAAGAAATAGATTTATAATTTTATTCTTTATGACTATCAAAATTTATTCTGTCCACTTTTATTAGTTTTATTTGTAAGGATAACTCTTAGACAATTATGGTCACTGAAAATTTTAAAAAAATATACTATGTTCATACTTTTAGTGTAAAAAAGATTAAAAAATAATCAAAGGCTTTTAAGTATAAACTATATTAAGTTAGGATAAATATTTGCTAGAACAGGGCCAAAGTAACAGTTTAAGGAGGAAAATGATCAACTGGAATTTCTAACTGTTAAAGACAGAGCATGCAGGCAAAATTTTGAAGACCATTGTCTTAGAAAATAAGGGTTATATTTTCCACAGCTTTGTATGACTAGTACCTAACACACACTTGACATTGTAAGAGCTATTTGAATAATACACTGACTAAAGTATAAGTGAATGAAATACAAATGGAAAGTCCTGAGATTTCAAGGAAAAGGATCAGTACTTTTAAATATGTTCCTAAGGGACACCTGGGTGGCTCAGTTGGTTAAGCAACTGCCTTTGGCTCAGGTCATGATCCTGGAGTCCTGGGATCGAGTCCCACATCGGGCTCTCTGCTCAGCGGGGAGTCTGCTTCTCCCTCTCCTACTCCCCTTCTCATGCTCTCTCTGTCTCTCTCATTCTCTCTCTCTCAAATAAATAAAATCTTAAAAAAAAATAAAAATAAAAAAATAAATATGTTCCTAAAATGTATTAAGATATGAGTAAATAACATACCACAGTCCAAACTGCCAATCACAAAGGAGCTCTTGGATACTTTATATGTAGATAGCAAACAGTGTAGTGAGGGAGCATATGATATACTCATTATACTTTAAAACAAAAATCACTCCTGTGTATAGGACAGAACAGATACCCATAGAAAATATTCACTAAAGAAAGTCTACTTTGCTACAATGACAGAAGAGGGTACTCTTAAACTAGGAATCTTGTAAACTACCTCAACTCTTCAACCCCGGGCTTAAAATTAAGCGGTAGGTGCAGTTATCCATCTATAAAAAGCCACTGTTTAAAATAAAATTCAGCTTATGAACTCTCTCCTTTTCCCCATCAAAAGCAAAACAAACAAAAACAAAGAAATATGAAGCAAAAAAGAAAGTACTCCAAGACCCTGACTCCAAACTGAATTAAATATTAATTCAGTTAAATTTAGGGAAAGGGGGTGGAGTGGGGAGTAAAACTTAATTGGGATTTTAAAGTCCAAATACAACTGGATAACAAAGCAGTAAGAATCAAATAAGAGTGGATTGAAGCAAGGAAGGAAATGAAATAGAAAGGAAAGACTAAATTATAATACTTCTCCCAAGAGAGGATAGATTCAAATTAATTCTAT